GCAATTGATCGTTATACGTATAAATACCAAAATTATAATAAAGATATTTCTTCGTAACTATCATATATCTATATAAAAGTATTTTTCACTGTTAATCTAATAAATTTATCGTATGATACAATCATTTGTAATAATTTGCTATTTAAATGTTGCAATTGATCGTTATACGTATAAATACCAAAATTATAATAAAGATATTTCTTATAATTCTAAAACTATCATATATCTACATAAAAGTATCTTTCACTGTTAATTTAATAAATTTATCGTATGATACAATCATTTGTAATAATTTGCTATTTAAATGTTGCAATTGATCGTTATACGTATAAATACCAAAATTATAATAAAGATATTTCTTATAATTCTAAAACTATCATATATCTATATAAAAGTATTTTTCACTGTTAATCTAATAAATTGATCGTATGATACAATTATTTATTGGGTGTAATAATTTGCTATTTAAATGTTGCAATTGATCGTTATACGTATAAATACCAAAATTATAATAAAGATATTTCTTATAATTCTAAAACTATCATATATCTACATAAAAGTATCTTTCACAGTTTATTTGAGAGAATTCGGCTTTCGCGTTCATTTCTTTCAGAACCATTGCTTAAATTGTCTTGTTTGCTTCTGTATACGCATTCGTAGAACGTACTACGTATAAAAAATTTTCGAATGTCCAAAACGAAATATAACAGTAATATGGGCTTGACGTGATTGGGAGATTAAGAATCCTCCTCTTTTTATAGAACATTTCAACCACTGGAACGTGCAGAATTTATATTTATATCTTATCCTGCACAGATTAAGGGCGTAGGAAGTAATGTAACTTTCTTCGGATAATTTACGGAATTTTGAAAGGATGAAAATAATAATGGCAACGCCAGGGGGATGTAATTGTCCTGACAAAGTATTAAGTTTAAACATACATATGTTTTGTTACAGTACATTAATCATCATTACAATCATTCATAAGATGTATTATTATGCCGAAAATAATTGATATTTATAAAGTTACATTAGTAAGTGATACTTTTTACAATTAATAACAATGACGTGATTTAGAAACACGAACACGGATTCAAATTATACCAATTGATTTTAATTAAATCAAATGAATAAATGCATTCCCAATCAAAATATGAACTTCAAAATAGCGAAAATTTTTCATAAATTTCTTTTTTTTTTTTTTAATAATTCTTTATAAACTAAATTTTGCATCATTTTATTTTGTAAATTTTGTATTATTATTACTATCAAAAATGTGAATTATGAATGTGCGCATAAATTACAAAAGTTTGGTCATAAATTTAAAATTAGTAATCAATAAACGTATTATGAATAGTAATTAAATATAGAAAACAATTATCCCTTTATTATAATTTTAAAAAAAGGAATTCTTGATAATATATTTCATAATTGACTTTCAATTTAATTGATAAACTACATTTAACTATTATTTAAATAATTGATAAATTGCATTTAACATGGATCATATGGGTGCAATAGATTTACATCAAATAGGCAATCTTGATAATTCGTTACCAGCGTTCCTTATCCAGATGACCGATCTACCCTAACCTAAATCAGGTTAAGATTTGTCAATTACATGGAAAAGTTGTTCCTTGTGCAATCCGTTTGTAGTACTGTTGAAAAGTGTTAGGTACCGAAAGACATGCTATTTGTAAAGTGATTTATTTTGTGTTGTTTTATTTTTTAATATGAAATGTAAATTCTTAATGTGAAATGGAGTGATATCAAATATATTATATAAAAGGAAACAGAAAATTATGTTATTTTCTATGTACTGATGATATCGGCATTTTTTCTGGTATTTAATTACATATTTTTATCGAATTTCATTATTATCATTACTTATAAACTGATAAATAGTCTAAAAACATACGATAAAAATACTATGTACATGTATATAATATGACAGTTCCTTATGATCTTTCAAAATAAATATTTAATATTCTAATTACAAACCATGATGCTAAACGCTAATAAATATTAATGAATATAAATTAATATTAATAATATATCAGTTACAGGAAGAAATTGGAAAACATTAAAATCTAATTTATTGAAATGATGATGGAGTTGAGTCATAGTTTGACTCTCAATGAGGATGCTCTTAATCAAATCCCAGAGGCTAAGAGGCCAGTTTTTATATTTGAATGGCTACGTTTCTTGGATAAGGTTTTAATAGCTGCACAAAAGGTATCCTTCAATGATATATTTTTTTGTTGTCGCTCAATGTTTTTGCTAGATAAAATATATATTACATTTGTTATAATAAACATTTGTTTTATAATGATGTATAATTCTCAGAGTGACATTAAAGGATGTCAACAAAAGTTAGTAGAACAATTAACGAGACATATGCAAGGAGCTCCTGGACCTCCTACGCGAAGACTTATTGCAAGATGTCTTGCAACTTTATTCAGTGTTGGTGATACATTTTTGCTTTTCGATACTGTTAATAAATGTAATGATATCCTCAGAAATAAGGATGATTCTCCGAGCTTCCTTCCAACAAAATTGTAAGTAAACTTCTTGTACACTTATTTAGCAACAATTTTTACATATTTTGTAAACGTGTTATTGTTTATAGAGCTGCTATATGTTGCGTGGGATGCATGTATGAAAAATTAGGAAGAATGATGGGTAGGTCATATGAAGAAACTGTACAGATATTAATAAAATCTTTACGTTCTGCAGAATCACAAACAAGAATAGAAATTATGCACACTTTAGAAAAGGTAATATTTGTTGTTATGTAGAAATTAAAATTACTTCAGAAATTCTACATAAGTTTGAATTATTAGGTTTGTGCTGGAATGGGATCTGCAATTACAAATGTTTATAAAGAAATATATAAAATTTCTAGACATTATCTTACAGATAGGGTAATGGCTGTAAGATGTGCTGCTGCAAAGGTATTTTATTAATCTGTTTCCAACATTCTGTAGGTATATTTTTTAACATATATAGATATATATCTATTTGATGTAATATTTACAGTGTTTATTAGAAATGTTAAATCATGCATCATTTTTGTATACCACCGAAATAGAAAGTGTTGCTACACTTTGTTTTCGAGCATTTGAAAGTTCAAACTACGAAGTACGATGTGCTGTTGCAAAATTACTTGGTACACTAGTAGCGATGACTCAACTTCCAGCCCCAAAAGGAAAAAGTCCTTCAAGTATTTTAAATATATTCATTCAAGTATTCACTATGTATTAGTAAAAATTATATTAATCATTAATTTATTGTTTTAGTTACACAAAATAAAAATTGTAAACAAATTTCACTCGACGAAGTTTTGAATATTTTAATGTCCGGATTTTTAAGAGGTGGAGTAGGTTTTTTAAAAGGTACTGGAGAAATAATAAAAGGAAGTTCTAGTGTTAACAGAGAGGTTCGAGTTGGAGTCACACATGTAAGATAAAATATAAAAAATAATATCCCATACTCATTTTATGAAACAATCTAATTAATTTTTTATTGATATTTTACAGGCATATGTTGTATTTGTTCAAATGTTAGGAGGATCGTGGCTTGAACGAAATGTTGGTACATTAGTTGCACATGTACTCGACCTGGTTACAAATCCAAAAGCAGCAAATTCGCATGTTGATGCTGTTTATTCTAGAAAATGTGTTAATTTTATATTACATGGTACTATAGGGAAATTGTTAGGTGAAGGAGCTCAAGCTGCTGCATGTAAAGAAATAGCTTACACAATTTTAAAACAGATGAATTCCATTGGTAAATTTCATTTCTCATTGTTATTAATGTAGTAAAATATGTGTATTTTTTATTTTCTTATTCTAAATTCTTAGATTTTAGCCCAGAAAATGCAAAAGACTGTAATCAAGAGACATTATTTAGTCAACATTTATTAGTTTGTGCACTGCAAGAAATGGGGAATTTGATCTTAGGATTGGGAACAACAGCTTGCAATTTATTATCTGATCAGTCTTTGAGTATGTACCTTATATATAAGATGTACATTCCTCATATACATGTTTCGATAATTGTATTAATTTGAATATTTTTCCAGATTTAATTGATACTATTATAGCTGTTTTGGTTCATCCATGCCAAGCAGCTAGACTTGCAGCTTCCTGGTGTCTACGTTGCATTTGTGTAGCAGTTCCAAGTCAAATAACACCTCTGATCGATCGTTGTGTAGATGGAATTGAAAATATGCGTAGTTCACCGGAAGCAATAGCTGGATATAGCAGTGCATTAGCTGCAGTTCTCGGTAGCGTTCGTTTATCGCCACTTGGAGTTCCCCATACGAAAGGAAAAGTAATTATTTTTAAATAATATTTATGATTGTTCATATGATTTTATGAAGATATAGAATTTTGTAAGATTATTCATTTCATTTTAGATTATTTTTAACACCGCAGAAGAACTTTTAAGAAGCGCAAGCCAAAATAGTCGTTTATCGTTAAATAGAACACATGCTGGATGGCTTCTAATTGGAGCAATAATGACTCTTGGTACTGTAAATTTAGATTAATATGTCGTAGAATAATTAAATATATATTTACATATTTAAAATATATGTAATAAAAAATTATGCGTTTAGGAACGGCGGTGGTGAAAGGATTATTACCTAGAATGTTGTTATTATGGAGAAATTCTTTCCCTCGTTCGAATAAAGAACTCGAAAGTGAAAAGGCTAGAGGTGATGCTTTTACATGGCAAGTAACTTTAGAAGGTCGAGCTGGTGCATTATCTGCAATGCATAGTTTTCTATTACATTGTCCAGAACTCTTAAATGATGATATTACAAGACGACTTTTAACACCGATTGAATCTGCATTGGCAATGTTAACAAAGTATGTTATATCTGTACATACTTTTAAAATTTTTGTCTAATATTATGTCGTTACTATATGTACTAACTTTCAGTTTATCACCTGTATTAAAAAATTACGGCCAACAATTAAAAGCTCCAGCTGCTATGGTTCGTTTGCGTTTGTATGAAACATTATTATTATTGCCACCTCAAACTTTTGAAGGTAATTTTATAATTTTAAGAATTAATCATATGAAAATACTAAATTTAAAGAAACCAATATATTGTAAACATTAAATAGGTTCTTATACACACCTATTAAGGATGTTAGTATCAGAATTTACATTAACTGAAAATCCTGGAAATACTACGACTTCATTGTTACGTGCAGTTTGTCATGCCAATGATTCTGTAATTCTTGGTACATGGTTACAAGAAACTGACCATCGTACAATAGAAGATCAAGTATGTATCTTAAAACTTGTTATTTTAGAACAATGTCTTATATGCATTTTGGAATGATTTGATATATATTGTAAATGTAATATAATATGCTTTATGCTGTTAACACATTTCTTATTTAATATTATTAACATTTATTAATGTAAAAAAGTAATATAACAACCAAAGCACTTAAACCACGTGAAAATTTAGCGTGTATTATATTAATTGAAATTAACGTTCATATTTTCACTCATATCCAGATGGAACCAAACAGAAGGGCAGATTTGGAACATGTGAGTAATGTTCTACGAAGCCTTTCATTATTTGCTGTTTATTTATACAACTTTTTTTTAACAATATTTCTTATTTCATATGTGTATTGTAAATCGATTTATAAAATAATGATAAATATTAAGACTAATAATCTTAAATTTTTCTTTATGTTTTAAAAAATGTTAATAATAATTAATTTCACATTTATGGCTTTTATTAACACGAGTATGTTACATTTGTTTATTTTTTAATTTTATAACATTTTATTCATGGCATTATTTACAGTATAAACAAGAAAGAAACTAAAAATGGAATGCACTGAACTTCTATATTTTATTTGTTACAGTTACAACCAAATAGTGCTGCAGGTTCTGGGGCTTTAGAACACAATCCATGTTGTCTTTACAGACCAGTACCACAAGTAAATATTATTTAGATCTAAAATAAAAATATATGAAAATATGTATTATTTGTAATGATTTTAATCCCGTTATCATTGTTTTAGGATGATATAATTCCTGGGCCTTTGCCTTTAGGAGTTGCTGTCATCGATCTTTCTGTGTCTTTGTTTGGTCAAATCTTTCCACGTGTAGCGAATAAACATAGATTGCAGATGTTAGATCACTTCAGTGAATGTATAAAACATACGAAGTCTGGTAGGCAAGAAGCAATACAGATGAATGTTTTTACGGCTGTACTAAGCGGATTAAAGGGTTTGAATGAAGCAAAAACTGGCTTTGGTCAAGAAGATGTGAAAAAATCTGCGACTAATCTCATTATTGTAAAGATATTTTACAATAATATTATAATATATCTTATTCATTGTAAAATATTTAATTGAGTTTATATTACAGAGTGCTTTAGTAAGTAGTAATTCGATACTAAGATGGGCAGCTGGAGAAGCTGTTGGAAGGTTGGCTCAAGTTATTTCTGATCCCAAATTTACGGCGGAGTTAGCACAAACAAGTTTTGACCGCTTAAAATCTGCTCGTGATGTTGCTAGTAGAACAGGTCATTCTTTAGCGTTGGGATGTCTTCATAAATATGTGGGTGGAATGGGATCTAGTCAACATTTGAATACAAGTGTCAGTATTTTACTTGCACTTGCCCAAGATAATTCATCTCCTGTAGTACAAGTAAGTTTTTGTTAAAATGTTCCTTTTATTAATTACAGTTAATTTTAATTAAATTAACGTTAAATAAATAAAAAAAATTTAATTTTATCTTTTTATCCAGGTATGGGCATTACATGCTCTTGCACTTATAGCTGACTCTGGTGGACCAATGTTTCGAGGATATGTTGAACCCACATTATCTTTGGCATTGACTCTTCTTCTTAATGTTCCTCATTCTTATATTGATGTACACCAATGTATAGGGAAAGTGTTATCAGCTCTTATTACAACAATAGGACCAGAATTACAAGGTTCATAGCTTTTATTTTACTTCAATTTCAAAAATTCAAACATAATCTATATTGAGTATATCTATCTTCAGGTAATACATCAACAATTTGTATGGCACGTTCATCATTTTTGTGTGCTTGCGCAATTATGCAAGACCATCAAGATCCTCTTGTACAGGCAGAAGCAACAGGATGTCTTCAACAATTACATTTATTTGCACCAAGACATGTTAATTTGTCTTCTCTAGTTCCTACATTATGTGTAAGATTTACATTATATTATATTTCATTTATACAACATAAGTCAGATAAAATAAATATTTTCTTACATTGTAATTTAATTTATTTACAGCGAACTTTATCGAGCAATCATTTGCTTTTACGTAAAGCTGCAATATCTTGTCTTCGACAATTAGCTCAACGAGAAGCGAAAGAAGTATGCGAACATGCAATGACTTTAGCTAACGAAAGTCGAGATACTAATATAGTAGAAGGTCTTGTTATAACAGAAACTGGTCTACCAGGAGTTTTGTTTAGTATGTTAGACACAGAAACTGATAGCAAATTAATTAAAGACATTCATGACACGCTGACTAGTATGCTGCAAATTTTAGCAGCAGATCATTTATCTCAGTGGTTGTCCTTGTGTAAAGATGTTCTTACAATAGCTTCAGGTATTGTAATATATTAATATTACGTTAATAAAGATAATCATTGATAAATTAAACAAAATTAATAAGCTATTCATGTTTATGATGTATAGAAACGTGTAACAATGAAGAAGGAAATATTGTTGACGTCGAAGACAGTACTACGGATACTGATAATGCAGATACAGAAGGAGATGATGATCAAGCTGAATTCCACGCTGACGAATCTACAAAACAACGGCCAACTATTACACCGAGATGGCCAACTAGAGTTTTTGCAGCACAATGTGTTAGAAAAATTGTTGCTGCTTGTGTAAATAATAAGCAAGCGCACTTTGATCTTGCCTTAGCTAAAGAGATGCAAATATCTAAAGGAAAAAGTACTCTCTTTTAAATTATTTGTAATATTTTTATATATGATTGTTTACTAATTTCCGTTAATTACAGGCGACTTTCTAGTACTACATCTTTCCGATTTAGTACGTATGGCATTTATGGCCGCGACAAGTGATTGTGATCCTCTTCGACTCGAAGGATTGAAGACTTTACAAGAAATCATAGATAAATTTGCTAAAGTTCCTGAACCAGAATTTCCTGGACATTTGTTACTTGAACAGTTCCAAGCTCAAGTAATTAATTTTAAATATAAAAAGATATATTTCAGATTTATTTTATAAATAGATTATTATACATCATTATTTAATAATTATTTATCATAGGTTGGAGCTGCATTGAGACCTGCATTTTCAGCAGAAACAGCATCACATGTTACAGCTGCGGCATGTGAGGCATGTAGTGCTTGGATTGGAAGCGGAGTTGCTAGAGATCTCAATGATCTTCGTAGAGTACATCAGCTACTTGTATCTTCTCTAGAAAAATTAAGAGAGGGACATACACGACCACAGCTTTATAACGAAAGTTTATTAACTCTTGAAAGATTAGCAATTTTGAAAGCTTGGGCAGAAGTAAGAAACAAATTATAATAATGATTTCTTCCCTCTGCTTACTTATTAATTTCATATTTTTATCAGGTGTACGTAGTTGCTATGATAAAAGATGGTTCTGCGTTGAACAGTAAAAATACATTTAATCAAAATTCACATCAGATTGATGATGATGATTCCGAAGATTTTGGGAAATTTGAATTTCAGACTGAAAGTTTATTAAGTTTGGTGCAACCAGAGTTATTAAGTTTAAGTCAGTATTGGCTGGCTGCGTTGAGAGATCACGCATTACTTTCATTACCACCAGGTATAAATAGCTTCTATGCTTTAATAATTTTTTAAGTTGTTTACACAAAATATTGATAATCAGATAATCAATATTTTACTAGAATTTTCCAGTCAATTACCACATGATGGTGGAGCTTTTTATACAACAGATACAATGGAATCTGCTAGACCTCATTACGCTGAATCATGGGCCCCAATCTTACATGCTGCGACACTCTGGCTTAATGCAAAAGGATTTGGACTAGAAGAAAATAAAAATGAAATGAAAACATCAAATGCGGTTAATAACAATAATACTAATAATAATAACAATAATGTTTCTACCAATACTAATACAAACGTTGAACGTTTCCATTTATTATTTGGTAAATATCCTCCAGTAATATTACATTATATATTATGTTTCGTTCAATGATATTACATTACA